TTTTTTTTTTTTGCATATTTAGGGTGCACCAGGAACTCCCGGCCGAACTGGACCAGAAGGCCCGGTCGGTGAACCGGTAAGAAGCCGTGAATTGCATTTATGTAAACAATGTTCAGGTTAGCTCAGTTGGTAGAGCGCCAGACTGCTGTGCGGGAGGTCGAGGACTTGAGCCCCAGAACCAACACTCAAGGTCTTAATACGATTGTTTGTCTTTACACTCTAGGGTTTTGCAGGCGTCCCGGGCTTAAACGGATTTGCTGGCAAAGATGGCAGCAGGGTAAGTGTTAAACCTTGTCTTAGACTACCTGAGCTCCTCGTAATGATTTTGAACAATTATTGGCCATTTTCACACCGGAAGACCGACAAGTCGTCGGACGATTTGTTCGTCTGACGCGTTCAAGACGGACAACTCATCTTGTGTTGGTCATCGTAAATTCTTATCTCCACGAACAAACAGACGATTTAAAAGCAGGGGGTCTGGCACTAACAGGCTTGGTTACCTTGCTTTTAGAAAAGATGGCTTTCGCCGCCATCTTTCCGCCCGCCATGTAGCAAATTGACGTCAGTTTTTCATGCGTCTGTCCTGTTATTGCTCATCAATTTCGTCATAACATTGTCAAAGGAGCTGTGGATCCACGAGACGATAGCCAAGTGGATCCACAGACTACTTTGACAATGTTTTGAGGAAATTTGAAAAATGGTCTTAGGAGACGGACAAATTGATGGACAAATATAAGCGACTTTTTACGACCAAAACTTTGTTCATTCCGTGTTCACACCAAGATGACTTGTCTATCGCAGACGACATTTCCGTTCAAACAATATGTCCGTCTCTGGAGTGGAAACGGCTGTTGATTTTCACATCTTCGTCAAACTAGTTCGCAGGGCTTTTCCCTTGAAATTGAAAGGCGAAGCCCTGGGAACGAGGTTGCAACTTGGTAAGCAGACCATGAATGTTAGAAGATAGATCGGTTCTGTTTTTTTTTTAAATTTTTCCAATTTCGTAAACAGGGCTACCAAGGTGCGCCTGGAAAACCTGGAGTAGATGGACTGAAAGGACAACCTGTGAGTGCCCTGTATTACCTTTTACTGGTATCACGCTATAGAAATACAGCCAATCAGAATACAGGAAAGCCATTGTTTATTGTACGGTGTTACACCCAACCTTCCCATCGTGCGCTGCGAACTTATTCCTTCCTAAATTTAGAAAACGGCCCCATTTCCAGTTTCTTTCAGCTATTGTTTGGGCCAGTTTAGAACCAAATTTTTTCCTCGACTTCAATTTTGAGGTCGAAAACGCAGGAGAAACAGAGGTTTAGGAATGTTGTCGAGATCGTAGATAATAGGAAGCGAGTTAATAGCCATTGAAAATGAAGTGGTTACTGTATTGTCTGTGGCATGGATATTGCATGGTATACCACGAGAAAATGTAGTATAACTTATGAAAACAGTGTTAAAGAAATCGCGTCGGCGTCCTGCTCAAGGATTTTTTCCTCTAAAGTGGACGATATAAAAATTAAAAGGAAGATCAGCCTTTTTTTCCCACTTTCCTATCTTCCTTTTCTTGCTATTCTCTCTCTATTGTTTTCATCGCTTGGAATGATTTTAAGGCCTTTAGGAGTCGTGAAATCAAAGTGTATATGAATGATTTGGTGCAAAGTATTGTCACGGTTTTCATAAATCCAGCCATATATATGTAGTATACATTTGTGTACACTTCATCTATCACTATAGTAAGAGAGAATCAGATATCTACTTGATTGTCAGTCAATATGTGGATACGTCGCTCGTGAGCATGCTAAAAGTGTGTGTGTTTTTAATATACATTACAACTTTTTTGTCATAAATTAGGGTCCTGACGGTTCAAATGGAGACGATGGCGAGCCAGGAGTAACTGGAGATGAAGTAAGAAGATACATTGTCATAATTAAACACAGCCACCGTGAATGACGTAAAACTTATTTTACGCATCGCAGAGCTCATAGATAAAAACACCCAGTGTAAATCATGATTTACACCGACTTAACCATATCACTCTAAGAGGGTTAGAGTTGTATCTGGATTGCATTTTACATCAGGTAATAAAAATCACTTGAAACTCATTGGTGGAAATACCTTTCTGATCCAAAACACTGCATACACAGAGACGCATCGTCAGAAGAATACTATAACATCACATTCAGTTACAATCGGACCTCCCGTGAGCGAACATCCTTAGGACCTCGAGGTTTTGTCCACTTAAATTTTGCGCTAAGTGACCGTAAGGGGAGTCGCGACTGAAATTTATCTGTGCGAGTTACACAATCTCTTCACCTTTGTAAGTCCAATGATAACTACTAGAGTTGAAGTATCATTAATGGGACAGTGGTTTTGCAGGTAAGATATTTTTAGAAAGCCAATTGCAAGGCAGTATGATAGGTACACTCCCCTAGTTATCAGCTCCTTATATCACGTGAATCCTGGATCATCGTTTTTATCGTTTCACCATTGGTTTCTCCACATTCATGGCGTTTAGTATTCCAGTCAGCCATGTTATTTGCCATCAAGTTTAATCTGTTTGCTGTGGCGTTTAGCATCTAGTCAGCCTTGTTATTTACCATCAAATTTAACTTGTTTGTTGCGGCGTTTAGTTGTCCAGTCAGTCATTTTATATACCATCATGTTTAACTGTTTGTTGTGGTGTGTCATTTCTTGTAGGGGGACCAGGGCGAGCGAGGCTCTCCGGGAACTGATGGGGTAGGGGGACCCGTAGGATTGGTTGGGTCTACCGGTGACCCGGGCGAAGCTGGATTAACTGGCGAAGAGGTAAGGAATACAACTGAACACGAACCAACAAAACCTGATCAATGAATTTTGAAAGAGTAAAACTGCTTTGAACTAGCATCACATCAAGAGGGACTAGTGATACTCTTAGTTACCTTCCGTTTAGAGAAAGTGGCATCATTAAGAGCTTCAATGATGCCATCCATAAATATTTTCGCCTTTCTTACTCCGTTGACGACAAACGAAAGAATAAGCCAAAGCTAGGATCTCCCAGAATGGCAACTTTTCTTGCGGTTGACGAAGCGAGTTATCAACTGGTTATTGAAAGTCTTCTATTGTTAACATTATGCCAATAAGCCAAAGGGAGACAGCGTTATTGTTGGAGGAGCACTTCCTAAGAATCAACTCCTTGTTCAGCATTGTTCATCGAGTTTTTCTGCTCGTCGCTTGACATTGATGGCAGCAGATTTCAAATGGCTTAAGGATTGACCATTCACTCTCTGAATAGAAAATTACGCAAATATTGTGGGTCTTCAGTTAGTGTGGGTCATGGATGAAACGGTCAAATGAAAAGTACCGAGCCGTGCCTTCATGAGGTTGTGTTGAGAACTTTATTATCCTGTACGAGATAGTTCATAACTTCGAACTTTTTTTTTCTTTCTTTTCAAACTTTTTTTCAAACTGGTTTACGAGATAGTTTTAGAAATTTTTTTCAGGCTTTAATTTCACAACTGCTTAAGTTGTGTGTATAACTGCGATGATCAATCTTGTCTTCATATTTTTCTCCGCAGTTCAAACATATGATGTTTTATATATTCACTTCTATAGTTCAAACTGTTAGGTCTGTGAATGAAACCCTTTGAGCGGAAATTCCATGTTTTGTGACTTCTTTTAAGAAGTTTGGAAACTAAATTTGGTGTTTTTGAATTTGGACCGTTAGCCTCGTTGCGTTTAAAATTATGCAGGGTTACCAATTCGTGAAACGTATTTCTAATATTTAAGAAATGGCTTGGCAAAATTTAGTCGGTATTGGGCTCTAAATAAGTGAAGTTTACCGCGTACATATTTGATATTGGACAGCCGTGTTATGGTCAATTGGCATCTGCCAAAACAAAGTATTCGCTTACCAGTATCACGTGACCATTTCGGGGGCTCGGGTTTAGAGCTAATTTAGGTCACGTGTTTTTTAAGTTTGCCGCTGACCAGGTACTGGTTTTCGAATGGATCGAAGTCTCAAAGCCAGGTTAACTTATTGTAATAGAAGCTCCGGTTTTAGGCTTAGCTAAATCTATATATTATGTCTTCCTTTCAGGGCGACCCTGGTAGCGATGGCGAAGTAGGAAAACTGGGACCTCAGGGACCTTTTGTAAGTGTGATATCTCATATATCTCGATATCTCATATCTTCTTAGACAGTCAATACATTGGTCATGGGAATTAAGAAAATCATCAGTTGGGTGATGATACGTTATGCCAAATTCTCACAACTGGTTTGGTAAATTGGTAAGGTCATTAATGAGTTAGGTCACGATGATTTAGCTAATTCTGTTTATTTTCGTTCGTTACGAGCCCTAATTAAACTTCAAATTGGCGGGGTAGCAGTCTTTTCTGGGTAAAATCACGGCCACATAGCAAAGAAGGTTGATATCTGAGCATTGTCAATCGCACTTTTATACAAATTGAGATAAACTTGAAAAACGTCGACCCGGCGTTTTTCAAGTTGCTTTTTTCAATTTTGCCTACCCATTTCCCTTTTTGAGTTTTCAGTTTTTCTTTTGAGTTTTTCTATAGCTTTAGGTCGTTATTGTGGTATTTCAGTCAATTCTGTGACCAGCTCATCAGCTTTAGAATTTCCTAACATTAACTGCACTGACCTAGCCCCTTTTAATGATCTTACTGTTTGAAAAAAATGTTAAATGTTGAATGTTTATAGTGGTTGATGCGCTTAGCTACGACTAGCTAGTTCTCAGGCATGCCACTTAAACTGAGAGAAAGCAATTATAGAAGCAGGGGATTCATTAAGGCACCTGGCAAGTTCACCAACTGGGAGAAGGATTTTGCCGAGGTTTGACAACCTCGAGGAAATTTCTTCTTTGAAAGAAATTCATTTCGGAAAGGTCTGCCTTCCTATTGAACATGTTAGGAGAATTTTGATCTTCAGAACTCGTTGACTAATATATTTTTGTATCTATACCTGTAAAGTTACTGGCTTATTTGTGTTCCATGCGAAATTTCTGGGGGGTTACCGTCTTCGTTTAATGATAAGCACTCGTGGTCATGCAAATAACGCTATTATTTACTTTGTTATTCGCATCCAGGGTATTCCTGGCGAAGACGGAGATGTAGGAGATCTTGGGCAAACAGGAGAATCGGTCAGTACTCTACACAACATAAACAGTATTGCAATAGAAGTTCCGTAGTTCGCTTTGACCAGGTCTTAAATCGCGCTCGCAAAATACGAGTGGTGTTTGTAGTTGCCGAGCCAGATACTTGAAAGTAAATATTTCTCTTTTTTAAGGATGGGTTAAAAGCGGAAGATGTTGCTTTGTCCTTCGGGAAACAGCAAAAAATAGATTATACAAGCAGCGTGGACTTGTGCACCCCACACGGGTCAGAAATTTCACCAAAAGAAATAATCTCCCTGCCATTTATGATTATCATGCTTTGCTTTTGACCTAAGTACCATTTAGTGCCCGAGTACAAGGTCGAGACCTTGTGCCCAAGCACGAGCACTGTGCCCGAATTCTGGTATGAATATTTGGAAAAAAGGTGTGTTCACACTAGTGCTCAGCGAGAATTGTACTCTGGCATCGTACTCAGGCACCAAGTGTGAACATAGCATTAGATGATCCAGAATGGACGAGTTAAGATTCGGGTTATATTGGTGAAACGAGAATGATACGTTTCAAGGGAAGTAAAGAATAATTCTCTTTGTCACTTTGTCTGTTTGATTCATGTCTTAAACGGTACATCAACAGGGAGATGGTGGTTACACTGGAAAGCCCGGAAAGATGGGTATTCCTGGATTAGAGGTGAATATAAACCTTCTAGTTTCTGGGGGGGCGGGGGGGAATAAATAGGTTATGAGAATAGCAAAATCTTTAACTTGGGTATATGGTGGAGATGTGGCACTAAATTATCAGCACTAACCTGAAAGATTTTTATGGCAATCGGTAAGGAGAATCCACATTAAGAAGACAGTGTGGCCCAGACTCGTTTACGCAGCCCGGTAATCTAGCCTTAACCACAACCGTATATATATAAAGTTTCTTTGGCTTTACGTTTTACGTCAAACTTCTTGTGGAAAAAATGATGATGTATATTAGGCTTGGTGGAAACATGATAAATACATAGTTGTTACTTTCCGAGTTCTCCCAGAAGGAATCGAACACATTACCTTCAATCTAGTTAAGTAGCCTGTAGACGGTATAGGAAAGACGTCTAGAATTGGGAGATTAAATTAGCCGCCATTTTCATCAATTTTTTTTAGGGTGAGGAAGGTGACTCTGGAAATAATGGAACTGACGGTCCTCCGGGCCCACCGGTGAGTGAGTGTAAATTGAACACAAACGACAGACGGTGTTTCATCACATTCCAAACATCGAAATAAGAGTTGAAAATATATCATACACGAAAGACCGTGTTTTACCGCATATCAGAACATATCAAATGTTTTTCGTGTTGCCTTCATTTTGTGTGCGGACATTCTCCGTATAAACACAACTCTCAACCAAAGGTGATCAAAACTGATTGTACTAACCGTGATATCCCATGGTGCATTTTTACAGGGCTCTCCGGGGGCGCAAGGCATGTTGGGCCCACAGGGAGATCCCGGAGATGAGGTAATTCTAAATTGTACATGCAATAATGGCAAGTCGTTACCAGACTTCCGAACCGTGAAAACCAGTCATGTTATAGGGAAATCCAACAGAGAACTTTGCTTTTTTTTATGATTATTTATTTTTGTTTCGTCTCTTCATTGTTATTTAACACCGTATTTAAGACCTACCTTATTTGTAAATAATTTTAATTTTTTTCTTTCTTTCTTTTTTTCTTTTTTTTTTTTGTGTCCCCAATTAGTTGTGAAAACTAAATACATTGATACATTGATAAAACTTTTACTTTACTTGCTTTACTTACCTTGTCTGCATATCCTGGTCTGTTGATGGTAAAGTTCTTACCAAAATATAACTTCTAGTTTTGCCAATTGTTGTCTGAATTTCCACACAATTATGAACATTCTCGGATTATCATTCATTCTCTATGTACTAAAACTATCAGCTGGTACTGGGTTTTGTTATACCGCCAGGCCGGATATATGGCGAGCAGTGAGCACCCTAAGAGACAATGTTTTTATTGTCAGATCTACCATTGGGATAGATGTATGCCATTGAATATGAGGATTTATAACAAAACTTGTAACAATTGTCTCTCTTTTCTCCAGGGTTCAGTGGGTCCCCAGGGTACTCCTGGTACACCGGTAAGTCGATTTGTTTCTTGTCATGTATGTACAAAGGCGCTGATACATTGAGCAATTTTCCTTGTGCCTCGTAAAGTTGCGACGCAAGTAGCACGAAACATTACGTGGTGTAACATCCTTTGAACGCAACGTTCTCGTTGTAGCGTGAGTTGTTTAAAATAGAATCAAGTTCTACTTTTCACAACGAAAAACTTGCTTGTGGTACACGAGGCAACGTCTTGTGCATTTTGTCTCCCAATTGCGCCACAAAATTGCCAGAAAAGTTGTAAGGAAAATTATCTGTATAACAGCGTTGCTGACGTGCATTGTTTTAGAAGAAGAAATATACAATGACAGAAAAAATTTCGAAGTATCACTAAAATGGCATTGAGCTATTACGAAAGAGAAAGACGTCTCGCCAAAGTGTATCAAATTCTTGTTCTACCTCCTAGCTGCATATTTGATGTGAACACATTTTATTTTTTAACCGATATATGCGTTTTGTTCTTAACTTGACAGTGTGCAATGCCTTACACATTTCTGACGCCTTAAAAGACGCACGTAAAATCTTAACGTAAGGAAATTTAATTTCATAAGCAGTCTATAAGCTTCTGTTAGTACTTAGTGTTTTTTTTTCTTTGTTCCTATATAGGGTGAACGTGGACCAACGGTAAGATGGCGCAATGGAATGTTGTAGTTTAGTCTCTCATTCGAGGTTTAGTAGCTTGCGAACGCAAACGTATTTCCAGCTGTCGCTTTTATCCGCGGAGACAAAGAAATACGTCTGTGTTACAAATTCTTGAAATACACTGATCGGTTTTTTGTATACTTTTATTAAATACAGTCGAAGCTCTCCTTGCGACCAATCATGTAAGCGATCAGCTGTAGTTACGACCACCTTTGTGAAACCCCGTTTGAACTGTGACTTCAACTTTGTAATGAAAAGCTCCCGTAAGCGACCNCGCTTGACATTGATGGCAGCAGATTTCAAATGGCTTAAGGATTGACCATTCACTCTCTGAATAGAAAATTACGCAAATATTGTGGGTCTTCAGTTAGTGTGGGTCATGGATGAAACGGTCAAATGAAAAGTACCGAGCCGTGCCTTCATGAGGTTGTGTTGAGAACTTTATTATCCTGTACGAGATAGTTCATAACTTCGAACTTTTTTTTTCTTTCTTTTCAAACTTTTTTTCAAACTGGTTTACGAGATAGTTTTAGAAATTTTTTTCAGGCTTTAATTTCACAACTGCTTAAGTTGTGTGTATAACTGCGATGATCAATCTTGTCTTCATATTTTTCTCCGCAGTTCAAACATATGATGTTTTATATATTCACTTCTATAGTTCAAACTGTTAGGTCTGTGAATGAAACCCTTTGAGCGGAAATTCCATGTTTTGTGACTTCTTTTAAGAAGTTTGGAAACTAAATTTGGTGTTTTTGAATTTGGACCGTTAGCCTCGTTGCGTTTAAAATTATGCAGGGTTACCAATTCGTGAAACGTATTTCTAATATTTAAGAAATGGCTTGGCAAAATTTAGTCGGTATTGGGCTCTAAATAAGTGAAGTTTACCGCGTACATATTTGATATTGGACAGCCGTGTTATGGTCAATTGGCATCTGCCAAAACAAAGTATTCGCTTACCAGTATCACGTGACCATTTCGGGGGCTCGGGTTTAGAGCTAATTTAGGTCACGTGTTTTTTAAGTTTGCCGCTGACCAGGTACTGGTTTTCGAATGGATCGAAGTCTCAAAGCCAGGTTAACTTATTGTAATAGAAGCTCCGGTTTTAGGCTTAGCTAAATCTATATATTATGTCTTCCTTTCAGGGCGACCCTGGTAGCGATGGCGAAGTAGGAAAACTGGGACCTCAGGGACCTTTTGTAAGTGTGATATCTCATATATCTCGATATCTCATATCTTCTTAGACAGTCAATACATTGGTCATGGGAATTAAGAAAATCATCAGTTGGGTGATGATACGTTATGCCAAATTCTCACAACTGGTTTGGTAAATTGGTAAGGTCATTAATGAGTTAGGTCACGATGATTTAGCTAATTCTGTTTATTTTCGTTCGTTACGAGCCCTAATTAAACTTCAAATTGGCGGGGTAGCAGTCTTTTCTGGGTAAAATCACGGCCACATAGCAAAGAAGGTTGATATCTGAGCATTGTCAATCGCACTTTTATACAAATTGAGATAAACTTGAAAAACGTCGACCCGGCGTTTTTCAAGTTGCTTTTTTCAATTTTGCCTACCCATTTCCCTTTTTGAGTTTTCAGTTTTTCTTTTGAGTTTTTCTATAGCTTTAGGTCGTTATTGTGGTATTTCAGTCAATTCTGTGACCAGCTCATCAGCTTTAGAATTTCCTAACATTAACTGCACTGACCTAGCCCCTTTTAATGATCTTACTGTTTGAAAAAAATGTTAAATGTTGAATGTTTATAGTGGTTGATGCGCTTAGCTACGACTAGCTAGTTCTCAGGCATGCCACTTAAACTGAGAGAAAGCAATTATAGAAGCAGGGGATTCATTAAGGCACCTGGCAAGTTCACCAACTGGGAGAAGGATTTTGCCGAGGTTTGACAACCTCGAGGAAATTTCTTCTTTGAAAGAAATTCATTTCGGAAAGGTCTGCCTTCCTATTGAACATGTTAGGAGAATTTTGATCTTCAGAACTCGTTGACTAATATATTTTTGTATCTATACCTGTAAAGTTACTGGCTTATTTGTGTTCCATGCGAAATTTCTGGGGGGTTACCGTCTTCGTTTAATGATAAGCACTCGTGGTCATGCAAATAACGCTATTATTTACTTTGTTATTCGCATCCAGGGTATTCCTGGCGAAGACGGAGATGTAGGAGATCTTGGGCAAACAGGAGAATCGGTCAGTACTCTACACAACATAAACAGTATTGCAATAGAAGTTCCGTAGTTCGCTTTGACCAGGTCTTAAATCGCGCTCGCAAAATACGAGTGGTGTTTGTAGTTGCCGAGCCAGATACTTGAAAGTAAATATTTCTCTTTTTTAAGGATGGGTTAAAAGCGGAAGATGTTGCTTTGTCCTTCGGGAAACAACAAAAAATAGATTATACAAGCAGCGTGGACTTGTGCACCCCACACGGGTCAGAAATTTCACCAAAAGAAATAATCTCCCTGCCATTTATGATTATCATGCTTTGCTTTTGACCTAAGTACCATTTAGTGCCCGAGTACAAGGTCGAGACCTTGTGCCCAAGCACGAGCACTGTGCCCGAATTCTGGTATGAATATTTGGAAAAAAGGTGTGTTCACACTAGTGCTCAGCGAGAATTGTACTCTGGCATCGTACTCAGGCACCAAGTGTGAACATAGCATTAGATGATCCAGAATGGACGAGTTAAGATTCGGGTTATATTGGTGAAACGAGAATGATACGTTTCAAGGGAAGTAAAGAATAATTCTCTTTGTCACTTTGTCTGTTTGATTCATGTCTTAAACGGTACATCAACAGGGAGATGGTGGTTACACTGGAAAGCCCGGAAAGATGGGTATTCCTGGATTAGAGGTGAATATAAACCTTCTAGTTTCTGGGGGGGCGGGGGGGAATAAATAGGTTATGAGAATAGCAAAATCTTTAACTTGGGTATATGGTGGAGATGTGGCACTAAATTATCAGCACTAACCTGAAAGATTTTTATGGCAATCGGTAAGGAGAATCCACATTAAGAAGACAGTGTGGCCCAGACTCGTTTACGCAGCCCGGTAATCTAGCCTTAACCACAACCGTATATGTATAAAGTTTCTTTGGCTTTACGTTTTACGTCAAACTTCTTGTGGAAAAAATGATGATGTATATTAGGCTTGGTGGAAACATGATAAATACATAGTTGTTACTTTCCGAGTTCTCCCAGAAGGAATCGAACACATTACCTTCAATCTAGTTAAGTAGCCTGTAGACGGTATAGGAAAGACGTCTAGAATTGGGAGATTAAATTAGCCGCCATTTTCATCAATTTTTTTTAGGGTGAGGAAGGTGACTCTGGAAATAATGGAACTGACGGTCCTCCGGGCCCACCGGTGAGTGAGTGTAAATTGAACACAAACGACAGACGGTGTTTCATCACATTCCAAACATCGAAATAAGAGTTGAAAATATATCATACACGAAAGACCGTGTTTTACCGCATATCAGAACATATCAAATGTTTTTCGTGTTGCCTTCATTTTGTGTGCGGACATTCTCCGTATAAACACAACTCTCAACCAAAGGTGATCAAAACTGATTGTACTAACCGTGATATCCCATGGTGCATTTTTACAGGGCTCTCCGGGGGCGCAAGGCATGTTGGGCCCACAGGGAGATCCCGGAGATGAGGTAATTCTAAATTGTACATGCAATAATGGCAAGTCGTTACCAGACTTCCGAACCGTGAAAACCAGTCATGTTATAGGGAAATCCAACAGAGAACTTTGCTTTTTTTTATGATTATTTATTTTTGTTTCGTCTCTTCATTGTTATTTAACACCGTATTTAAGACCTACCTTATTTGTAAATAATTTTAATTTTTTTCTTTCTTTCTTTTTTTCTTTTTTTTTTTTGTGTCCCCAATTAGTTGTGAAAACTAAATACATTGATACATTGATAAAACTTTTACTTTACTTGCTTTACTTACCTTGTCTGCATATCCTGGTCTGTTGATGGTAAAGTTCTTACCAAAATATAACTTCTAGTTTTGCCAATTGTTGTCTGAATTTCCACACAATTATGAACATTCTCGGATTATCATTCATTCTCTATGTACTAAAACTATCAGCTGGTACTGGGTTTTGTTATACCGCCAGGCCGGATATATGGCGAGCAGTGAGCACCCTAAGAGACAATGTTTTTATTGTCAGATCTACCATTGGGATAGATGTATGCCATTGAATATGAGGATTTATAACAAAACTTGTAACAATTGTCTCTCTTTTCTCCAGGGTTCAGTGGGTCCCCAGGGTACTCCTGGTACACCGGTAAGTCGATTTGTTTCTTGTCATGTATGTACAAAGGCGCTGATACATTGAGCAATTTTCCTTGTGCCTCGTAAAGTTGCGACGCAAGTAGCACGAAACATTACGTGGTGTAACATCCTTTGAACGCAACGTTCTCGTTGTAGCGTGAGTTGTTTAAAATAGAATCAAGTTCTACTTTTCACAACGAAAAACTTGCTTGTGGTACACGAGGCAACGTCTTGTGCATTTTGTCTCCCAATTGCGCCACAAAATTGCCAGAAAAGTTGTAAGGAAAATTATCTGTATAACAGCGTTGCTGACGTGCATTGTTTTAGAAGAAGAAATATACAATGACAGAAAAAATTTCGAAGTATCACTAAAATGGCATTGAGCTATTACGAAAGAGAAAGACGTCTCGCCAAAGTGTATCAAATTCTTGTTCTACCTCCTAGCTGCATATTTGATGTGAACACATTTTATTTTTTAACCGATATATGCGTTTTGTTCTTAACTTGACAGTGTGCAATGCCTTACACATTTCTGACGCCTTAAAAGACGCACGTAAAATCTTAACGTAAGGAAATTTAATTTCATAAGCAGTCTATAAGCTTCTGTTAGTACTTAGTGTTTTTTTTTCTTTGTTCCTATATAGGGTGAACGTGGACCAACGGTAAGATGGCGCAATGGAATGTTGTAGTTTAGTCTCTCATTCGAGGTTTAGTAGCTTGCGAACGCAAACGTATTTCCAGCTGTCGCTTTTATCCGCGGAGACAAAGAAATACGTCTGTGTTACAAATTCTTGAAATACACTGATCGGTTTTTTGTATACTTTTATTAAATACAGTCGAAGCTCTCCTTGCGACCAATCATGTAAGCGATCAGCTGTAGTTACGACCACCTTTGTGAAACCCCGTTTGAACTGTGACTTCAACTTTGTAATGAAAAGCTCCCGTAAGCGACCTCGACTACTTTTGGGATTACCCAACTGGACTTTTCCTTTGTTTTTAAGCTCTTGTAAGCGACCACTCAGAGTCTTTTACATATAAATCAACACTTAAATGAAACTGCACACTGCGCTAATGGTTATTTTGGTCTAAAAAATTGAATGAAAAGCTTAGCCGTGTCTATATCAGATATAAAGACACTCATTAAACATTACTTTCTTTTGTTTTTTCTTTATGAATTATTAATGAATTATTCACGGCCTACATTTTGACTAGTACTTGACTAGTACTTTAAGAGGCTGAAAATGCGCACTCTATACTACTGACATTACAAATGTACACATTCGTTTTACTTACAACTAGCTAATAAATAGAGCAAGCAAACGTGGATCAGTGTCGGATTAGTTTTTCTTGCCGCAGCAGTACTTATTTTCCCAAATCAACCTACCCGTAGTAACGTGTAGTTTATCTATCGTCTAACTCACGACATACAGATATGCTAGGGTTAAAATTTAGAAACAGTTGTGGGAGAGCACTGACATCACCCGACCCTTTAAAGAAGGGAAAACTGCAGACTAACTATTGTCTTCTTCTTCTTCTTTTTTATTCTCAGGGCGTCGACGGAATGGAGGTAATAAACGCGAAGTTTGATTTTTGTGGCCGAGATGGCGTCACTGTTACTGTTAAGAAGCGTACCACTGTACAGTGGCTCGCTTCTCGACAAACGTTTTGTTTTTTGTCGTGTTGTTATTTTTGTTTTTGCCACATACAAACTTCGCTTTAAATTGAAGGAAACCTGAAACTGATAGTTTACTAAGATAGAGAAACATTTGAGAGATAATAATGAATCGTAAAGGAACAAGGATGGTTAAGGATGGAGAAGATTGATACGGATTGCAAACGACGAACTTGAAAAATTTGGGCTGAACTTTTCAAGATGCGTAAACCGTGACGTAGCTCCTTTAGGTTGTTTTTCTTGTCTTGGCCAATGCCCAGATCCATCTGCATTGTATGAGACGCGCCTGCAGGGAATCTTGGTAACTACACTCATCAAAACAAGTCCAAGATGGCGAACGTTGAAAACGCGTGGCCCCATGATTCCGCGGAGGCGCGTACCACTGAAAGAACTAGGCATTACAAATCAGGTTTTAAAATGGACTGCATAAAACCAACAATGTGCCAGTAAACTGCGCGTGCTCCTTTGTTGACTCTTTGGCTGACTGGACCAACAGAAAATTACAGAAAATGATTCAATTTACGAAACTTGCGCGCTTTTGAAACTTATAATTCTCTGTTAAGACGCGTGCTGTGACAAGCCCTGCTTAGCTTCTAATTCGTACACTGGTTTTCTTCTTTTTTTTTTTAGGGAGACCCAGGCCCTCCCGGCATGCCCGGCCCACAGGTATGATTTCTTTTATGTTTCCCACCTTTTGTAACGCAGAATGTTACAGTTCATCTCACACCCTTAAATAAACAGTGATATGTTTAGCCTGCAGGCAAGCTAAGGCGTCCCAATGGTTACTGTCTTAGACTTGCGGTCAAAAGTTGTAGTCTAGGTACTGTTTTCTTGTCTTATCATAGGGAAATACTTTATATATTCTATCACGTTTGTGTAGCAGCTTGAGTAGTTGCAAAGGAAACCTGATCGCAATTCAATATGAAGCAGTATTCCAAGTCTTGGGTGCAAAGCGCCCCATCATTGAGCTGTGAAGCTACTGAGAATTCTGTTTACACCCGTGAAGTGATGAATATGTGTTTGTGCACGTAGCGGCAAATTATATAAAGGCAACCTGGAAAACACGCTGGGTAGCCTGTGATGGCCCATTATACTTCCCAGGGAGGGCAGCAATGTTGTTACACGTTTGATTGTGTTGTTTGATTTTCATTGTTTATTTTCTTTGTCGTTTAGGGTCCTCCAGGCAGTTACCTTGTTAGTTCACTGGTAAGTATTCTAAGTTGCTCTAAGTTTGCATAACAGGTCTTAACAAGTCTTCAGATTTAGCAAAGGTGGAAGGCAGGTGGAGGTAGCGCTTCTAAAATACCAGCTGGGACTAACTCAAAGGACATTTCAACTATTGAGTCTCGATAGACGGCAATAATAATGGTCAAGGGTTTAGATGTTTTCTTTAACAGTATAATCTTGCAATTTAGGCTTTGCTCGTTTTGGCCATTGTTATGACCTACTTCTATTTTAAGTAAACGTATAAAAACGAGACCCCTTGGGAACCATAACTCGACCAAACACGTGCCATGATTCTCGAAGCGCATCGAATGGCTCCATTAGGTATGCAGGAGAATTAACGAGCATCTAACTCTATTTCTATTCTGTAGACTGCAGGATCTGGTGATAAAGGACCCCCGCCGAACTATCGACTGTATTCCAGCACAAAGGTAAGGAGGCTTCTTGTTTTCATGGATTGATACCAACCAATTGCAGAGGAAGCACTTGTGCCGTCCTTCTCAGTCGTTTTTGTGCCTTCATCACAACGGCGATTGCATGACAAGCACATTGCGTGACAGCTTCTAAGGATCATTTATATGTACGCTTGGCGGACCTATTAGCGTCACAGATTTGTTTGCTGGTTTATTTAATAATTCATATGTTTATTTATGCAGAGGACTGCTTATCAGAAGAACAAGAAAGACACTCCTGATTTGGAGGTAATTCACGAGAGATCAACTTATAATTTCTCCTTTCAATATCAATACATTTTTAAGCAGACTGGTGATAAGAATTAATTGTTTTGTACTTTATGTTATCGCAGACTGCCTAGAGAATTATGATTTATGATGCTCATTTTAAGTCGGTAGAACTTGCTTTATACATCGTTTTCTTTGCTAAGACATGTGGCATTCTCCCGTGGACCCTTTTTTTTTCAAACGCGGCATGTTTTTCAAATTCAAGCTCAAAAGCGTTTATTAAACGCAAAATTTGCCTGGATAATGACACCTCTCTCCCTTCCCCAAGCACAAGCCAACCAAAAAAGCATTTCGAACAAATATAGGCTGAATTCTTAACGGACCTTTGTGGTATGCTGTAACTTGTGTTTTCCATTCTTGTCTGCAGCTACACTGATACTTTAATTTACACAAAAAAAATCCCTTGTTCAACCCAACAGCCATTAATAAATATTTTGATATTTGACGTTATGACTTCCTGTCGACCTTCATCAAGTTGAGATTTTATCTTGATTTGTTTGTAGAGTCCTGTGGTGAAAAAGATCCTTGATGGCTACGAAAATCAGAGGGTCAACTACAGGCGGCAAAAAGGCAGCAAATATCATCCCGCCCGCTCCTGCAGAGATCTGCAGTTAGACAGTAACAGTACTGTAGAGAGTGGTAAGTTTGTGATGCTTTAGACTCCTGCCACATCACGAAAACGGAGCTTTTCAAAAACGCTCTTCAAACCGGAAGAATTTGAAAACGCCGGCTTTGCGTTTTAGCGTGGTTGGAAAACATTTTGAAATCTGAGCTTTTCGAATTTCCCTACCCAAGTTTCCTCAAACGCGAATCCAAAATGACCGGTGATTGTTGCGTTTTCAAATTTCTCCGGCGTAGTGTGGACGGAAAACATTTGATGCTTTTTCAGAGTGAAAACATCGTTTTGATATTTATCCGGTTTGGTGTGGACGGGTCCCAAGACCTTTTTATAGCAATCGACTTGTCGTGTAAGTTTATAACACTTGTCTGCAACGTGTTTGTTGCTGTAAATCGTTGCAAATAGTAGAATTTTTGTTCCAATTTTTCTTTGACTGTGTCCTTTAGCAAGTCACTGTTATATAGGCCACTCGCCCGCGTTCGAAAACTCGCAGGACTGTTAACAAATTGACGTCAGTTTTTCATGCGTCTGTCCTGTTAGTGATCTTGAATTTGGACATAACATTGACAAAGTAGCTGTGGATCCGCAGACTACTTTGACAATGTTATGATGAAATTTATTGTCAATAACAGGACAAACGAATGAAAAACTGGCGTCGATTTGTTTTTTCACTATGACAACATCGCATAAATTATATATTCATGTGTCTGTCCGCTCATATGAAAATTAGCCAACGAGCGCGCGAGAATGTTTTGTAAAAATACGATTTTGACTGCTGAGTGGCGCTATTTTTTGACATATAGGCTATTACTGGATTGACCCCAATGAGGGCTGCAGCAGCGATGCGGAGTACATATACTGCGACTTTGAGAACAAGAGGGCTTGCGTTCATCCAAAGAAAGAAAACGTAAGTTTGTCTTGAGGGTCCATAAAACGATTTATACGTAAACGATTTATCGGTTAGATTCAGTGTCGGGCGCGATAAATCCCGAAGCATAATGTCTTATGCTAGCATATTGCTTATATTATTTAAGTTTGTGTACAGTGATGGATTACTACTTGATTTCCCTCGTGGGAAGATGTTGATATCTTTTATAGACAGATCTTTTTCTCTTGCTGCTCCCACGTTGTGGAATGCCTTACCCATCTCGTTAAGGAAATCGAACATAGTTCAACAGTTTAAATCCTTACTCAAAACGTACCTTTTTAAACTAGCTCTTAAAAATTTGATATAATTTTCGGAATTCATGATGTGATGCGCCTTTGATCATTGCGTGTTAAAAGGCGCGATATAAGTAATTTTTATTGTTATTATTTGTTATTCAGATATCTCCTAGTTACGCAACGTTCTCTCGTGGTATACCGTGGAATATCCTACGAGTCCCTTGAATTTTATCGGTATACACACGAGCCACGATTGTGTATACCAAGAAAATACAAGGGAATAGGGGAATATTTTTTGGTGTACCACGAGAGAACGTTGTATAACTATATTATACCATGCCATATAAAATACAGTGGACAACACAATCAGTAGGACGTACACGTGGCGCATGATGGGAAGGTTGGGTGAAATATCGTCGAATATACAACGGTTTTCCTGTATTCTGATTGGCTGTATTTTCTATGGCACGGTATAAAATGTTTTATGCATCAACTGGCCCGACGCTTAAATATCAATGCAGCTGCTACAGATTTCTCCAAATCGGGCCGACTTGTCGACCTGAGGCAAGTGTATTTCGGCATTGCCGATTTGCATCCCGATATATTTGGCCCAACAAATCGGGCCGATAACTCGGTACGTTTAAATAAGCCTTAAACTCGTCTTACACTAGCGCGTCTCTTGAACATCATTGGGTGACTTTTTTTCTCTTTAAGTATTGTTAGAGAACGCTTAACTTTTCATTCAACACAGATCACAATTGATAATGCACAATCTCAACAATGGATCAGTGAAGTTCACCCAGATGTAAAGCTGGTGAGTAGCATTTTGTAATTACACTCTTGTGGCTCGCCACGCATTCCTCTCAATCGTCGTTTTTTTTGTTTTTTTTGAGAACCTAGCGGCATTTTTCCGGGTTCATATTATGTAGGAGGTTTATGGGCATTTTGCCGGGACTACGGGACCAAAAGAACTGACTGGGTTAAACAGAGAGGCCTCTGTACTAGAGCGAGTCCGTATTAAGGTTTTCTCTAGTAGAGAACTGTCCCAGAGATGAGTCCGTATTATAGAGGGTCTGTATTATAGAAATTTTTCATAGAGAATATAAATTATTTTGCTGGAGCCAAGGGTACTGCCCCTTATGAGATGTGTTCGTATTAGATTGGGTCTGTGTGATAGATTTTTTTTGGTAAACAACTGTCCCTTATGGAGATGTGTCCGTATTAGAGAGGGTCTGTAATAATTTTTTTTTTCTTAGAAGACGTTCGACTGGACAAACGTTTCGAGTCTAGCTTCCTAAGTTTTTCACTGAAACGATATTAACTACATAGGGAAAGACTCCAGCTAGTGTCCTATTTCCTGTGGATGACCGTTACAATGGTCAGTAGCTTTAACCTTAAAACAATTGCGCTCAGACACACAGACACACAGTTCATGAATTGTTTCATTGCAGATTGAATACAACATGGATCCCGTGCAGATGAGGTTCATGAGGTTACTGAGCATGCGTACCACTCAGACCATAACTTACCACTGCTACAACTCACGGGCCTGGGAAGAAGACAATGACCGAACTATTAAACTACAAGGAGAAAATGAAATGGAACTAACTTCATCAGAGAAGACAAAACCTAAAGTTATCACCAACAATTGCGATGTGAGTAGTGAGTGCCTAGTAGGGAATATCATTAAAAACTGGTCACTGGATAATGCGATTCAAGTGTTTTAATAAATAATTGGCTTAACCATCTTGGCTTATGAGCCATTATACCATGTTTTACAAACATGGTAAGCGTAAGCATGAATTTTTGGGGGCGTTTATATTTTCATTTTAGCTTAGTTTTCTATATTCCACTCGCGCTTGTTGGATATGGGATGATAACCTTTATACATTACTTGCAAAAAAATTTCGGACAAAAAATTTAAACCGTTTATTTAAGCGTCCGAAATTTTAAGCGTGCGGAATATTCACAGTACAGTGTAAAACTTTTAATTTGGTCCAAAGTTCCTTAGTTTCCTTTATGGGGCAAACTCTACTTGACACACTGCTGGAGATACGTAACGGCTTGATAAGATTTGTTTTATTTTCTCGTCGTTGTATCTGTAAACCCTTTAGGGTGCAGTACATGTTTCACAGGTGTTTCCGTCTAATTCGTGTTTTGTAAGCGTAAATTCACTTAAGTTATGTTTCAGCAAAGCGTCCGAAACTTGTCGGAAATGAGATAAAAAGTGTCCGAAAATCAAACGTCTGAAATGTTTTGCAAGTAATGTAAGAAAAACTCTGATTAACTTAGTAAGATTGCCAATCTTACTAGTGTAACAGAATTTTCTGAATGTTTAACTTTGTCGCAGATTCACTACAACAGTTTCTTAGGAAAACGTTCGGTTTTATCCTCTATCTTAAATTACGTTGTTGGTCTTTATAGAATAAAGATGGTTCCTGGCACCAGACAGTCCTTGAGATCGACACCAAACAACAGAACGCCTTGCCTGTAGTAGATGTTGCTGCTTATGATGTTGGAGACAAACTTCTTGAACAGAAATTCACCATCCAGCTGGGACCTGTCTGCTTCGTGTACTAGCTAAGAACAATGCCAGCAAAATGTAGCTTTTGTAAATTTCATGTGTGAAAGATCTATTCTTAAATAACGTACTCAGTATCTAGTAGAAAGTATACGGCCCCAAGGTCGTCTTATAGTTTAACTGAGCGAGTCTGGTGTTCGCGATGCCTCGCATAAATAAAGACTGTTTTGTAAGGCAGGTTCCCTTTATTATTTTTAATGACACGGCAAGCAGCCATTCTTGGCTTAAGTTAAAATCTAAGGGAGCACTTTGTTACTGTTATTGCCACGGAAACGAAGCAAGAGTAACCAATGAAGGTTTGACTGATGATTCAACAAATGCAGAATAAATGTAGTTGTTATTTCAGGATAAGCTTTCAAAATTGCGAAGATGGCGTTCAAGCCAAGTTAACTTTAAAATAGGTAAATTATTTTGATAAACGGTGAGATACGGAAATATTTCTTTATGTGTTAGTCTATAAATATTGTATTACAGTGTGCCAAATCGAAATGTTACTTGCGCTGTTTGTTTCTGAGGCATGTTTATTGATAACATCTCTTTCATCCGAGATCTTGAAATTACAAGACAAAGGGAATTGGGCTTTTTTTTTCTCCACGACAGAGAAAAACTGGAGGGTGTTCAAGGAGTGGTTAGCCTGTGTAACCGTTGCTCATTTCTCCATGTTTTAGTCTCCCTGCAAAGCAAAATAATAACCGGCAATTCTATAACAGCACTTAAGCACCCTCACTTTCAAATTAGTTGCTCGTGACAAGTGTTATCACCCTTGATGTCCAACAAAATTTTCAAAGCAAACATCAAATCGCATCCGATGGCTTACATGTTGTATGTCTATCATTCATAAAAAAGTGAAATTCCTCGATTTCTCTGAAGATCTTTCGCAGCAACCGTGGGAGCAGAGTCACTTCGATCTTATCCGCAGCCTATTGTGATTTGTCGTTCAAACACCCGCGCACTCGATCTAGTGGCGTGGAGTCGCGTAAAGCAGACTAGCTTTCGTCTTCAGGCAACAAGAAAAACATGTTGGGAAACCGAGTACGAGTAAATCCATCCGGGAGCAATGCAATTCATGCAATGGAAGCTTCCCTTTTGTTGTACGTCA